CGTTGCTCCGTTTGAGTGAAATGGCGTTTTGGGTTGAAAAGCATGTGAGGACAGGTCATGGTTTTCACCGCCCTTGAGCAATGGGGTTTCCACGTAAAACTCTTGTTCTTGTTTTACATTGTGCTATTTAGTTTCCGCACTTTTACTTCTACACTGTTATTCTGTCGAGGGACCTGGTCCCGAGATCATTGGTGGGCGCATACATTCCAACAAGTAACTCTTAATATAGATTGAAATATAGTCAATGAAATAGTAAAGCATACAAATTTTCTTTAAAAACCAAACTTTACAACTAAAAGTATGCAAATATAGCAATTTATAAAAATAACATAACTTACTTTTTTTTTATAGAGCTTCTCTAAGTGACAACCATCACGTGAGCCTCATGATGATACGTCATCTTGACCACATTGCCAGAATCACCTTATACCTTGCTATGGTAAATAACAAACTTAACTAATGAATCAAATCTATAAGCCCTTACCAATGGCTTTCTAAGGAGTAATATGAATCAACAACACTATCTTATTATATGGTAACAACGTAGTTCTGTAGTTCAAATTATCTAATACCTTACTCAACTCAGTGCTCAATACTACTCCCTAAACAAGCATTGTGCTCAATAACTATATATAAAGATGTCCCACTTTAAGGGAAAAACTAAGGGCCCGTTTGACCATAGATTTCCCAAGTAAAATTTGAGGGAAAATTTGGCAAATAGTGTTTGTCCATACAATTTGCCATTATTTGGCAAATAACCCAAATTCCCAAATACTAGAAAAAAACTAGTATTTGGGCCAAATCTCATTAATTGGAACTTCTAATAATTCAAATTCTACACCAAACTTTTATCTTTTACAAGAACACCCTCTATAGTAGTTGTTTGCATTGTTTTATATAATTTTTTACATGAACATCAAAGTAGTGTTGGAATATTCAGTGAATATGAAAGTGATGATATTGTTATTGATGAAAATGATGAACAGTCGGCTTAGGGTAACAAAGTCACGTGCTATGTAATAAAAAACTTATGGTTAGTTTTGATAGTTTTTAAAACTTATGATATAAATCATATTTCTTAAAAAGGTGAAATATATTTCTCAAATACTATGGCCAAACACATGGTGAAATTTCACCCAAATAATATTTGCCAAAAATATTTGAAAATCTGTGACCAAACGCTAGCTAAAAGTCTTATACTTTGAGTTTATGCTCAATAATATTTCTTTATAATGAACTAAACTTTAAAACTTGACTATGCTGAAAAATCTAACTATGCTTTCTTAAATCCGAGACATGCTTTCCTTAAAACTGAACATACTTTCTTTTAAAAAACTGCTTACACTTTTTTTTAATAAAATATGCATCTTGATACAAAATACAACTTCTTGAAACTCTTTTTAAAATACTTTCTTAAAACTTGTAATAATTTTACTATGAAGACAATAATGCGTAGGAATCAATATAACAAGGTTTTCAAATTATTTTAACTAAGAAGGGTCATGTAATAGAATAACATGGCCCTAAATCAATGAAGGATCATCAATAATATAAATTATAATGATTTCAATAATAGGATCACCAATGAGTACATTGGAAATAGAAGAATCCAAAATCAAGGACTTCAGGGGTAAAATCCTAACTTTGATCTTACCAACTAAAATTATAGATATATAACGTGAGAAAAAAATTAGTTCCTCATTGTGATAGTTGTACATACTTGAAAGAACAAGAGTTCTAGACAGGAACTTGATATGGAGAAGCTTGAAATCCTAAGTTTTGCTCTTCTTGAGTCTTTCTCAAAGTTTTGGGAGAAGAATAAGAGAATACCATGATATACTCTCCAAATAGATGCTAAAATATTGAGATTTAGACTTAGAAAAATAGGAAAATTAAAAGACATAAATAACCTTGAAAAAAGTCATGATGGGTCGAGTCCACGAGGACCATCCATGACTCGTGGAGTGATCCATGCCCCATGGACTCCCTCCTTGGAATTCAGGTGATTCTACCCACTTTCAAATTCTCATCCACGAATTCTTTTCCACATCTCATAGAGCGAATCCTGAACTGAGGCTGACTGACGACTTTCAGGATCGAGTTCACGAGGACCTTCTACGGCTTGTGGAACTCAGACTAAATGTTACCTCTCTGATCTCATGGACCTCATTAATGGCTCGTAGATGCTGGTCGTAGAAACCCAGTACTGAAATTTTAGGTTAGGTTTGTGCAAAGTGCTAAGTATTGACATTTGGACACCGGGAAGCTTGCCCTAGGGTCCTTCGTTTGGAACTGCCCTTTTCCTTTCCAAAGTGGAATTCCTCCTTGCTTTCCCCTAGGTTCAGTTGAAATCATCCATCCTCGAATGATGGACAAGTTAGGGTAGCTAACTCAACTAACTTCTCTGAACTGAACTTCTATTGAGGTCATAAGCATAACCTTAAGAAGGAAGACACAAGCATGAATATTTTGAGACACAAGTATATGTATTGAATCTAAAATGAGAGAAGTAATCTTACCTTCAATATTTTCATCATGAGGAATGAACAAGTGATAGTATCTAGTTTTTGATGCACAACTTTCACATACTGGCAATAGGGACATTGGGCCACAAACTCAATAATGTATTTTTTTACATCCCACGCCATCAATAGATATCCTTAATATCGGGGTACATTTTATCGACCCAGGGTGAATAGAATAACATATGCAAAATCTATCAATCTAGTAAGACTTGTGAACAATTTAATAAGAGAAAATTAGCAAACTAGTCCCAATCCCTAACATAATTATTAAAAATATCTACACTTTAAAATAATTATTAAAAATGTCAATATGTCAATATTTTAGAAAATAAATTGTATCATAATATAACTAATATTCTTCCCTTTTATTTCTCAAATCAAGCATTTTTTACTTCATTATACGGTATAAAAAAAATACTCTCATTACACTTACCCCTCTTTCTAGGTTTTACCCCAAATCACTCATTTCTCTCTCTTCCCTTTTTCACCATTGTTATCTCGTTTCCTTATTCAAGAAAATCAACTATTCGAATTTGCTACACTTTTTCACAAAATCTCGCAATTAATTCAAAAGATTTTCACCCATTGAGGTAAATTCGAAGTCAACAAGTATTTTGTGAGATTTCTTGTGATTTTGTTTTCATATTCACCAAGTATTTTGTATTTCAGTTTTTTCATCTTTTAAACAGTATTGTTCGATTTTTTTTGAGTTTGTTTTCATATTCACCAAGTATTTTGTGAGATTTTCCTCTTTTATGTATTTCAAATTTTTCATCTTTTAAACACTATTATTTGATTTTTTGTGACTTTGTTTTCATATTTGAGATTCAGTAGATTGTAGTAATCTACATTGGCATTCATACATCATATATTGTTTGATTTTTTACACATTCATATTTAATAATTTTGAATTTTGTTTATAGGGTCACTAATGCACAAGTGAATACGGATTCACCGATTCAGATTTGGTTTTGATGAACAAAAAGTCGTAAAAAAGGAACATAACAGAAGAAGAAGAAGAAGAAGAAGAAGAAGAAACAGAAGAAGAAGAGTGAATACGGATTCACCGATTCAGATTTGGCTTTGATGAACAAAAAGTCGTAAAAAAGGAACATAACAGAAGAAGAAGAAGAAGAAGAAGAAGAAAATTTTGAATTTTTCTTATAGGGTCACTAATGCACAAGTGAATACGGATTCACCGATTCAGATTTGGCTTTGGTGAACAAAAAGTCGTAAAAAAGGAACATAACAGAAGAAGGGGAAGAGGAAGAGGAAGAAGAGGAAGAGGAAGAGGAGGCGGAGGAGGAGGAAGAAGAAGAAGAAGAGGAAGAGGAAGAGGAAGAGGAAGAGGAAGAGGAGAAGGGTCACTAATGCACAAGTGAATACGGATTCACCGATTCAGATTTGGCTTTGGTGAACAAAAAGTCGTAAAAAAGGAACATAACAGAAGAAGAGGAAGAGAAAGAGGAAGAGGAGGAGGAGGAGGAAGAGGCAGAGGAAGAGGAAGAAGAGGAGGAAGAGGAAGAGGAAGAAGAAGAAGAAGAAGAATAAGAAGAGGACGAGGAGGAGAAGAAGAAGGAGAAGAAGAAGAAAAAGAAGAAGAAGAAGAAGAAGAAGAAGAGAAGGAGGAGGAGAAGAAGAAGAAGAAGAATTGTATTTTTATTAAGAACATTGTATTTCTTTTTTAGTTTGTAGTCATTCCAATAGGTATGTCAAATGAATTTGTGTTTCTTAAGCATAGATGTATCCTTTTTTTCACCGTCAATGTATATATTTTTTAGAATATTGTATCCTTCCTCAACAGATTGTATTATTTCCACTATATGTGCTATTTTTTTTTTCAAAATCTTGTATCCCTATTTCTTTTACAGTCAATTTGTACTTTTTCTAGAATATTGTATCCTTCCTCAACAGATATTATTTCCACCATGTATGTCATTTTTTTTCCAGAATCGTGTATCCTTTCATAAATCATATTCATATGTAATGATTAGATTATATTGGGATACAATTAGTAATATTTTTCTAATACAAATAAAAGAAAAATATATTTGGTAGTATGTTCCACTTCTTGATGTTCTTAATTTCACCATCCATGATTAAGATCTTGATAAGGGAGAAAAATAGAGATTAAAACCGTTGATCCAATCGAATTAGAAAGGAGATTCTTTTGAAATTGTAACTGATGAGAATTTTAAGTGATATATTCCTTTTTTAAATATTATCTCCCCATATTTTCTCCTTTCTGTTATTAAATAATTGTATTCTTTCAAATCAAACAAATTTTAAAAAAATACTTAAATCAGACACATAACAAACTAAAATATTGACATTTTGAAAATTTTCCCATTTAATAAAGATATTCTTATTGGGCTAATATAAAAATCCAGCCCATATTTTTGAGAAAATTTTCAGCCCAATTCCAATGTAGAAAAAGTTGGCGGGAGTGTATTGTGATGGTGGTTGGCTAAAAATAAACCGTATGGGTAAGCTAATCTAAACAAGTGAATGGCTGTCGTTGTTACAACCAGACAGAACACATTCATCATCTGTTTTTAGTCTATTCTCTCTCCTCCATACTACATTCTCTCTCTAATGGCGACTCTTCAATCTCTTGCATTTTCTCCTGCACTTTCTCACACTTCGCATCACCCTCGCTCTCTTCTCGGTATGTAACAAAATCTGTTTATCTAACTTTACTCTCTTTTTTAAACTTGATTTATGAGTAATTTTGTCAGATGTGTATCGGAACTCGAAATGTAGTACCTAGTGGTATCAGTGAGAGTCTTCGACACAGTAGGTGTGGGTTCAATCAATTCCCATTGTCTTTCTTACTGATCTTCCAATATAGTACACCTTTTAAAAAAAAAAAACTATTTCCTTTGATTTGATACAGAATTTAAGAAATAAACAAATACTTTTGAAACTTGTGATATGAAATAAGTCATGTTTGTGTTACTATAAATCATTTTATTAAGATTAAGGGTAAAATTAATATTTTTAAGTTAAATTGTTACTAAATATAAAAGGTAATTTTACATAAATTTCATAGTGTTAAGAGTTGATTATATCATATCTCTATTTTTTTTTTCCAAATTACAAAAAATCCTTAAAATTTAAGGATTTCGGATACATCACCAATGTCCCAATACATCGCGTCCCGGATTTGGATACATCACTCAATGTCCCAATATATTGCGTCCCCATTTTGGATACATCACTCAACGATACATCGCGACCCAATACATTATCTTTGTTGATACAAGACACACCTGTATCGATACATTGCTCAATATTCTTAATATACATTGCATTGCGTCCTGATGCATTGCGTAAGAGTGATGTATCCGAGAATAGGAGAGAGTACAAATTTTTGTAATTTTTCAAATGGTAGGGAATTTTCGAGAATATGATAAAATAAATTGTGTACATAGGTAATTTTTTCAATATAGAAATGTGTCATTTTTTAAAAACTGATTGAAAAATTGGGAAGGAGGGAGTAGTATATTAGGGAACACAGTTAATCAAAATGATAATTGTTGTTTGTGTCATGTACTGTAGGAATAGCATCAAGGATAGTTCATCAAAGTGCAGGTTCTTCATTCAATGGCCAACGATTGTGCCTATCCCGTTCGCGTTTCACTACCAATATCAAAAACCAGAAAATGTCCAGACTATGTATAATGATGGTTCAACCAAAAATTCAGTTCATACAAGGAACTGATGAGCAAACAATACCAGATGTGAAATTAACAAAGTCAAGGGATGGGACAAATGGTATGGCTATATTCAGGTTTGATCAACCCTCCGTATTTGATTCATCTGGTGAAGTAGGGGATATCACTGGATTCTACATGATTGACGAAGAAGGGGTTCTAACGTCAGTTGATGTCAATGCTAAGTTTGTTAATGGAAAGCCTGCAGGAATTGAAGCTAAGTATATTATGCGGACTCCACGAGACTGGGACAGGTTCATGAGATTTATGGAGCGGTATGCTAATTCAAATGGCTTGCAGTTTGTTAAAAGTTGAGATTATATTGTATGTTTTCTTTTGCCTCGCCAACATCTTGAATTTTTTGTCTGTCATACTGGTTTATGAGTAATTTAGTTCAAAAGGTGTAAACTTGAGAAAATTCCTCACTCCATTTACAGTTAGATGTTACTTTTGTTCATTTGTGATGGTTCACTTCCAAGTTCAGGCGCAATCTTGTGCTTTGTCTAATCTATTTATACATATTAATACTTCTTAACATTGTGGAGACACATCTACTTAGTAAAACACAAATCATTTCAATGATTATCGATCATTTCTTCTTTGTGGAAAGATAAAGTGTATCTGCTCTAACATCAATTTATAATGTGATGTGAAATTCCTAATTGGAAATTTTGAACTAAGACAATGAAATATATGGTGCTTGTGATAGTGGTGATAGTGATCACTTCATTGATGCCCATGTGACGGAAATAGGACTTTTAACTTTCGTGGCTTTGTTTCCTACATTGAACCATGTCAATTTCCCCTCTGCAAAGCTCATCCTTTTAGACTCGATTTTCTTTCGTGATATAAACCAAACTCTATAGCTTAAGCTTTGGTTTGCATGTTTAAATATCAGACGACGTGGCTTCACTCTCACTTTGACTCCCTCAGGTGCCTCAATGTCAACTGAGTAAATAGAGTTAGGGTTCCCCACATTTGTTACTCTCCTCTTGATCATCTTTCTAGTCATTCCTGCTCTGAAAGTTATTGAAATTGAGGGGTAATTTAGGCTGAAACCCCTGTTGTTCTGTAAAATGTCATGGCAGCTGACATTCCTATGAGTAATGCTGAAGACTTCAGAATTTCTGTATCCGATAGTGCAAAGATGAGTGATATATTCATCAACCTGGATGTCATATATCAATCCAGGATCGATGGCTCTTCCAGGGTTCACGTGTCCAGCTCCAGCTGCAAAAAGTTTAGCTGGTGCATCTCCATCCATGATTGGTTTTCCCATATGATCAGCCGTATCTGCAGTGGTCACTAATGCGGATCTTATTGCTGCTGGAGTCCATTTAGGATGAGCTGAATGGAGCAATGCGGCAATTCCACTTACATGAGGACATGCCATTGAAGTCCCTGACATAACAGTGAAATTTACTCTTCGTGAATCCTCGGGAAGACCACTGGGGCCTAAGTTTTGTGGCCAAGCGGCAATTATGTTTACCCCTGGAGCAATCAAATCAGGTTTGAGAATTGAAGGATCAGTATAGCTTGGCCCCCTTGACGAAAACTGAGCTACTGCAGGTGCTCTAGACTTTCCTATGACTGTTCCTCCAAATATGAATCGAGCTGTTGGTCTTTTTGTTGAGTTCAGGTAGTTTTGTAATTGAATTGATTCATCGAAGCCAATCAACGTTGCTGGGAGGACATGGACATCAACGGAATCTTCCTCCATATTTATTGCTGTATTTACTAAGATCATGGCAGCACCACCTGCCTCCTTCACAACCTGGCCTTTTTCTGCCCTTCCATTGACTCCCCTATCACACACAACCATTTTCCCCTGGACTCGTGCTCTTGATAGCGATCCTCTCAAGCAAAATTCACTTCCCTTGTCCTTATCCTTTACATAAACAACCTCAAGATTCTTCCGAGAGCTAGGAACTTTCTTCCCAGGGTACAAGGATTCTCCGTACAGGAACTTTCCGTTGCCTAACTGAACTGACGCTGGAAATCTCCTGTCAAGTGTGCTAGCACCAATAGTGGCAATCCAAGGAGCACCGTTGGCTACTGAACTTTGGATTGGTCCATTATTCCCTGCTGCACATATAACTGAAATTCCATGCTCCATGGCTCGGAAACTTCCAATGGCAATAGTATCATCATAAAGTGGAATAGGGAAGCCACCAAGTGAGAGTGACAATATGTCTACTCCATCTCTGATGGCTACATCCATTGCTGCAAGTATATCAGAGCTGTAACAACCACTGAACCAGCAGACTTTATATATCGCAATGTGGGCACCCGGGGCCATCCCTCGAGCCTCCCCTGCTCCATTTCCGAGCACACCAGCCATTGGAACTGCAGCTCCTCCAGCAGTGGATGCTGTATGTGTACCATGGCCATGGGAATCCCGTGGCGACACATATTCCTCCACTGCATCTGGTGATGATGTCATTGAAGCCACACGATGTCCTTTGCTGAAAAACCTTGCACCAATAAGCTTGCGATTACAACTAGAAGAATTAAAATTCTGTCCTCCTTGGCAGATACCCCTCCACTTCTGTGGAGCAGGTGGCATCCCATGATCATCAAAACTTGGACTTTCTGGCCAAACTCCAGTATCCAACACTCCAATGATCGCCCCTCGACCAAATCCAGACTTCAACCAAGCTCCTTCTCTCGTCGTACTTAATCCCAAGAACTTGTAAGAATAAGTAGTCTGAATTTCAAGCCTCCTCTCAGCACGTATCGATAACACATCACTAGATTCCCTTAACAACTCAACCTCATCTTCAGTGAGTCGAGCTGCAAAACCTTCCATTGCAGAATGGTACGAGTACAAAAGACGAGAAGACGAGTCTTGTTCTCCAGAGGAAACTGCTTTTGCAAGGAAAGAAAGGTGCCATTGTAGTTTAGAGCTAAAAGGGGGTCTTGTTGCTCCAAGTGGATGCAACTGAACTATGTAAGTTTGCAAATCTTGAGCTTGTATGCAAACAAAACATAGTAAAAGACATAGAAAGGAGAATAAATGAGTACTCGATCCCATCAAAAGTGTATTTGTTTTTCGAAGAATGCATATTTGTTGGAAGAATGAATGGGGTATTTGAAGAGAATTGAAATATGGGTGTTGAAGAAGAAACTTGTGAAATTTATGAGCTCTTCCTCACGAGTATCATTAAAAGTGAGGAGCTGATGGTTTTGCTAAGATTTTCACGAGATATTGTGTTAATATTTGAAGAAACATTCTTTGAAGTTTTCACTTTTTTGTTCATTAAATTGATTCATGATTTGTTACACAAGAAAGAGACCATTTATGCTCAGGCGCCAAACTTCACCATCTTGCTCTGAGTTTCTGCAGCAGCATTCAATTGAGTCACGCCACGCTTAGCTCCTTGCAATGGAATGACGGCTCTATATTCTCGCCCGTTTCTCTACCTAAGATGAAATCCTAAAATTGAAGTTTTGTTTGAACATGTAATTTAGTTTTTTAAGTTGCATTTTTTGTTCATCAGCATAAAATCTCATACGTTATTAAAATTGTCCAATTTTTTAAATACAATTTTACCAAAGTATAATACACTATCACAAAGAACTTTAATTCAATAAAAGGGTGAAATTCAATATAAGTTAAGTGTACTACACTTAAGTATAATCATCCCACATAGTACAAACAATCATCTTACGTTGAACATGCATTTCTCGATTAGATGAGTGAGAAGACGAACCAACACTAATGGTCATTCGATATGAATCAGGTTAGAAGCACTAATATAAATTTGTTTGGTAAAAATAGATAAGTTAGGCATTGATTTGAAGTAATAATAATACATTTGGTTGGTGAGAGTAATAGTTATATCTGTGATAAATGGTTTAAAGGTTGGTAAGAGTGAAAATATCAACTATAAATTTTGTTTACATGTGAAAATAAATGGTTGGTAGATATAAAACCGTGCTGTTTTGTTTCAAAATATAAACTAATTAGTCAATTTATGTATTTGAATAATGTAAAATCATGATATGAAATTCCAAATCAAGTATAATATAAACATTATACTTGAGTGATTCTCAAACCAAGCCCATATTCCTCCTCCTGCCATTTACAATTAAGACCTTTTCCATCAATCTCAAGAGATGTATGTTTGTATGTATTTTGCGTTAACTTTTCTTGAATCATGTGTGTTAGACATCACTTTTACAAATATCAAACCAAATTTCTAAATGAAATTAAAGACCACTGCTAAATATATATTTTTTTGCTTCAAAAAAAATTGAGAAAGTACCAAATAACTGATATAAACCGACCGCATACTAACAAAAACCAAACAGCATTCATTTTAGTTCGGTTTCGATTTGCATTCTTCCAAATCGAACCAAAATTGTAACCAGGATTTGCTCGTATTTATTTACGAAATTTTTACACGACCCATTGTTGTACACTACTAAAATATGTAAATTGTATATCCCCATTGTACACTCTGTTCATACCTGCTGGATATTTTTTTTCCACTAAATAGAAATAAAGTGTAATATTTTATAAAACTAATACTAATTTTTAATTGTTGCGTGGGTATTCCCATTAAGTTTCCTATAAACTACAACTAACAATAAGCAAAGTCTACTTTCTTACGTAGTCATTTTGGTAGGCACAAACTGAATAGTATTTGCAACTTTTTTCTCACCTTTTGTGCATCGAGGAGTTAACTAAGTTTTGGACCCACACGCCCAATGTCCCTTCCAGGACTCTACTACTACAACTAACTTGCTGACTCTGGGAAATCCGCAGTCACTACTCTTTGGGTGCTAATAAGATACTATGAGAACAAATCTCGAACTTATGCTACTTTTAATTAAACGCACACATACATTACTCCACCTATACATGCTAACAAAGGTACTGAGTAACATCAAAGTTATGCACGTTACCGGAACAGTATTCACATATTTGCCTGCAGAAACAGGTCTGTTCTTGAAAGACAGAACAACTTTAGAAGCAATCGTGTTAGCTTGTCCTCAACACCAACAACTGATCAGGCAGAAAATGCACACACCTTGACAAAAGAATAAACTCAAACAGTAGAATTGCTTAATATGGAAATGCAGTTAAGTAACAGAGTATAAGGAGAAGAAATAATACTTATTAGTATACACAAACTTTTACATGGGCATCATCATCATATACCCATTGCTTCAGAGCAAACTATTAAAAAAAAATAACAGAACTTCAGCAGAAAAGGTATCCAACAAATCTGAGAAACAACTACAAGAAATTATACGCGCAAATTCTTCTCAATGTGTTTGTAATTCCCACTGCTTGCGATATATCTTATCTCCAACGAGATTGGATGGAAGCCAAAATGAAGCTTTATTTAACCTGGCACTCTGTCCCAACAATTAACAATAGAAGGCATGACTGAAATAACACCAAAATCAAATGACTGAAGTTCCTACCCTGAGTAGACATCATTTGGCGATCAAAAGTATTGGCATGGATTTTATTGTTAATAATGACTAATAAATAACATAGAATCGGAAAAAACAACAACCGCATTTATATTAGAAGCAGGATTATGTATTACTATATGTCCTTCATCTGCACAAAGTTCTTATAATTTCACCAAAACAGGTTTTTATACTCGGATGCTAACTTTCACGTCTAACTAGTAGTTGTCTCATTCTAAGCTCTGTGACGATGGTGGTGTATGTCGAGGAAAAATCCACATCATTATTGTTGTCCCTGTTCGTTTTTCCAAGAGTTTTTAGCTGCTTCTGCTGATGAATTATCAGATTCTGCACTTCGATCTTTTGGTTTTTCGAAAAAAGGATCCCATTCGTGAGCTGCAAGCTCAGTTTGCCCTTCATCCAGCAATGAATATTTCCAGCTGAGCTCCTCAATATAGTTATCATATTTACGATCTTCAATGATGTCTTTTCTTAGCCTTGTAACTCTATTTATAACTGCATCAACTGCTACATCAAATGCATCTTTGAGAGTCTCCAATTTAGAGCGAGGATCGGCATAAATCAGCCTCGGAATCATACTTATAACAGCCTCCCGCAGTTCCTTCACCTTCTCAGGAGGAATTTGATTTAACATTTCCTCTATGCTTATATTCTTCTTACGAACATCATTCTCAGAAATGAAAACAGAGTAGGCTGAGTAGTTTTTCGGAAGATGCCATGTATACTGTGTGTAGGCAGAAGCAGGATGGAAAAAGACAGGTATACAACCAGCCAACATAGCATCAAAAGCTGACCTTCTCGTATATGAATCACCTTGAGGTTGCAGGCAGAAAAGGGAGCTCTGGAACATCTTCATGATACTGCTGGGAGAGTGACATTTGCTCTCCCTCGATTGACCACACTTCAATAACTTGCACGATTTAGACTCCTTGCACTGGTCAATGATCTGCCCCCTGATTGATTTAGGGTCCCCAGGCCGTGGTCCACCAGCAAAACAAAATAGCCACTTCCTCTCCAGCTTCCTCATCCGGTCCTGCCAAGTGAACACTTCAGCATCCTTTGCTGGATGGAAATATGTTGGATATGGGATGCCAAAATCATTTGCATTCCATGGACTTGATTCAACCACAAGCATGGACATATTTCTCCCAGCAGGTAAGAAAAGAAACTTGTTGCCCCAATCCGAATCTGAATCGGACAATCTTCTGAAGTCCCACGTTATCCTACCAGCCACGAGAAAATGATCCTTTCCCCCCATGATATTCCACTCTGGCCTCTTTTGTAGCCAATCAACCAAATCAAGAGAAGCAGCATCCCTCGTAGTTACATTATAACCCCAAAGATACCTTGCAATATCAAACCCTGCATAAAACGGCACAAAAATGGCAGCAGCAAGAGAGGAATCATTCGTGAGGCACTCGTACTGTTTCATCCGATTGCCAAAAATGACATCCACCGCAAACTGATTAGTTGCATACCATCCAGTATTCGAGAACACTCCCTCAGCATTCTCCATTTGTGGCCCAAGCCCAGCATTAGCAGTAAACTTACAAAAATTAGTCCAAGGACTAAGAGTTCTACATTCCTTAAGCATATCTTCATTGAACCTTGGAGGAAGATCATGCACATAAATATACCTTCCACCACATGGATCACTTTTATTCTCTACCGTTCTCAATGCTCTCATAAACGAGTAACTCTCAGGATCTCTCCGAGAGCTATTATCGCTAATCACCGGCCTAACCACCGCCGGTGGTGGTTGCACATTCTTTTCGAGTGGTTTGGACTTCACTACTAACTCATTATTATCCCTTTCAACTTTAGCATTACGTATAGTAGCACGATTCAGGGGATTTGGATTTGATTGAGGGGTGATGATAATTGATTGTTTATTGAGGGAAAGTGGATCCAAATTAGGTGAATCATGAACATGATTACCCCCAAGAATCACAAAATGAAAATACAATACTAAAAACCAAAACAAACCTGACAATGAAGCTAACAAGCAAACCCTAGGATGATGATTTTTTCCTTGCCCTTTCTCCATTGAATCATCAAACGATTGGGACGTCGGAGAACGGCGCCTCATCAGATTATAACCAACATAAATAAACCACCAAAAATCTCTAAAGATACAATCTTTATAACAACCTTAAAAACCCAGAAAAATATTGCTAATTTCAACACAACCTTAAAACCCAAGTCTTTAAAAAAGCTCAAAAGTAGATGTATCTATTTATCTTGATTTTCCAAGAAAAGAAAAAGGGGTTAGTCATAAACTATGATAGAACAAAAAAGAGTGAAATGCGGAGGATTTAGCACGTCATGAAATGGAGAAAATCAAGACCATAACTGAAGAACCAGAGAGAAATCAGGAAATTTAAGCTAAAAGAAGGTTCCAGCAAAGTTTAACAGCACAGAAATAGGTGGAAGGAGATTGATGAAAGAACAAGTTATAGGTAAAGATGGAAAAAAAACACGAATTTTGTGGGTAATTAACTAACTGTTATTATACATAGATTCCAGAGGAAAGAGGAAAATGAGATGTAGTAGCTGTTTCTTATTTTTCATCTGTCGGTGAATACCTAAAAATAATTACTACTACTAATTCTAAGGTTTCTAATATTATTTT